CATCCAAATTACAGGGGTACCAGAAGGGGAAGAGGAACAGCCATGAGTGAAAAACTTATTTGAACAAATAATAAGGGAGAACTTCACCAATCTGGCAAAGGAAATAGACTTCCAGGAAATCCAGGAAGCTCCGAGAGTCCCAAAGAAGTTGGACCCAAGAAGGAACGCACCAAGGCACATCATCATTACATTAGCCAAGATTAAAATGAAAGAGAGAATCCTAGAAGCAGCAAGAGATAAGGGGACAGTCACCTACAAAGGAGTTCCCATCAGACTGTCAGCGAATTTCTCAAAAGAGACCTTACAGGCAAGAAGGGCTGGAGAGAAGTATTCCAAGTCATGAAATCTAAAAACCTACATCCAAGATTGATCTGTCCAGCAAAGCTTTCATTTAGAATGGAAGGACAGATAAAGTGCTTCTCAGATAAGATCAAATTCAAGGAGTTCATCATCACCAAGCCCTTATTATATGAAATGTTAAAGGGACTTATCTAAGAAAAAGAAGATAAAGAAGATGAGCAGTGAAAGCACAGCAAACTCACAGTTATTAACAACCACACCTAAAACAAAAACAAACTAAGAGGATAGCTAGATCAGGAGCAGAACCATAGAAATGAAGTTCACATGGAGGGTTAGCAACAGGGGAGTGGGAGAAGGAGAAGGTGGAAGAAGGTACAGAAAATAAGTACCATAGATGGTACGTAGAAAATAGATAGGGGGGAGGGCAAGAATAGTATGGGAAATATAGAATCTAAAGAACTTGAGACACATGGTCATAAACTAAAAGGGGGGAATGGTGGAGGAGGGGTGTTCAGGGTGGAGGGGAATGAAGGGGGGAATAGAACTGTAATGACATAATCAATAAAATATATTAAAATAAAAAAATCATTACTTCAGTGCTCACTAGTTCAAACTTTAATTTTGGCCCGGTATTGTAGATTTAAAACGAAGCCTAGTGTGCTAACCACACACACAAATAAAGCAGCCCAACGAAATCTGGAGAATGGCAATTCTTAGGCAGCACTAACTTTTTACACATTAATAGGCGTCATTTACATGGAACCAGTTACCGCAGTTACATGCATTCACACTGCTTGGCCCGAGCTCAGGTATGACGTTAAGGCATTTTCATCCACTTTCCCCTTTAAACAAAGGAGAACTAGACACTAAGTGTAAGTTCCAAATAACACAACTAAAATCAAATAATGATTATGACATATCTCAGGGAGGAAAACCATGCAGCCACTAAAAAATCATATTGTGTGAAAAAGGTTTTTGTAGAAGTTTTGTATAAACATATACAAATTATTAAACATAATTTTTATAGGTATAAACATTATTAAACAATTTTTATAGGTATAAACATAATGAATTATTAAATGTTTGTAAAAGAACCACAAAATAATATGTACAGAATAATCACCATTTTTATTTGTAAATATATTTAATATACTATCAAACAAGTATATAATATTTATAAATTATATAAATTATACCAATATAAATACACATTATGTTTATACCTACAGATATATCTGTACATGTAATTTTTTTTGACACACAAGAAAAAAACACACAAAAATTATTTAACAGTGAAGGTTTCTCTGTTCTCTAAGGAGTAGGCTTTTGAGTGATTTTTGTCCTTCCTGTGGAATTTTTTTAATTTTTATAATTTTTTTCATTAGGAACTAGTTTTTTTTTTAATATTTTATTTATTTATCTTTGGAAGGAGAGAGGGAGAGAAACATCAATGTATGGTTGCCTTTCGTTCATCCCCTGCTGGGAACTGGCCTGCAGGGAACTGGTCTGCAACCCAGGCATATGCCCTGACTGGGAATCGAACTACGATTCTCTGGTTCGCAGGCCCGTGCTCAATCCACTGAGCTACACCAGCCTGGGCCTAAGAACTAGTTTTATGATTAAGAAAAATAGAGAACGGGCTATGTAAATAAATGTGCAAATAAAAGCATCGCACATTTTTTACTTTGTAGTTTCAGTCTTTTTATACAGAAATGAGCTTTGTTAATTAGTTCAAATTTCTAAATTTTTATTCTGCTCATTTGCTGCATATTGTTTGAACACTGAACTACAAACCAAGCAGATTTTGTATGATTTTAAATGGTTGGCATTTTGTGTACAAGTACCTAAAAATGGTGAGCCAACATGACATTACTGTAGGTTAGCCATGCTGTTTAAAATGTGGTGCTTCTGAGTGTGCGTGTTTCCAGTCCAGACTTACTTGCCAGAGCAGAAGGGTACTGTCCGTAACGTTTTGTGTCATTTTCACATTCATGTGTATCCATTGTTGTTTGCCCTGCCGTGGTTCTTAAGTCTTGAAGGACTGCTGTTTATCCATAGTACAGTCGTCTCCCGAGTTTTCTCCTTTGGACATTTAGAAGGTAACCTCTGCCAGTTCAGAAGACAGTAGTCCCCCCTTATCCACAGGATGGGGTGTATGGTCTGTGACCCCCAGAGGATCTCTGAAACCACTGGACTATGAAGCCCTGTACATACTATATTTTTTCCTACCATACCTATGATAAAGTAAGGGATTAACAACAATAACTAATAATAAAGTAGAGCAGTGATAACAGTATACTGTAATAAAAGTTATGTCGCCCCTGGCCGGGTAGCTCAAGTTGGCTGGAGCAGCATCCTGCTACACCAGGATTGTGGGTTTGATCCCCATCAGGGTACATATGGGAATCAACTAATGAATGCACAAAGAAGTGGAACAACAACTCAGTATTTCTTTCTCTAAAAAAAAAAATCAATACACAAAATTTTAACCAAAACAGTTATGTGGATGTGCTGGCCCAGTCTCTCCTCCTCTCCCCCTCTCCACCCCTCCCTCCCATGACTCACTCTCCCTCTCTCTCACACACACACACACACACACACAAAACATCTGATAACCACTCTAATGCCTGCAAGCGCTACTAAGTGACTAACAGCCAGGTAGAGTTATGCAACATGGGTACACGGGACAAAAGGATGAGTCACGTTTCAGGTGGGAGGGACATCACGCTACTCAGAAGAGCATTTAAAACTTAAAAATTGTTTATTTCTGGAATTTTTATCTAGTATTTTTGGAATGCAGTTGACCGTGGATAACTGAAACCACGGAGGGTGAAAGCTCTGATGAGGGGGCACTGCTGTATCCGTTTTGGTGGATCTCAGGAAGGATTCCAGTTCACCTCCGTCGTTGCACACCCACCCTTGGCACTTTGTTCATTGACCTTGTGGCACTGGACACTTTTTCCTGTAGCTTTGTGACCTGTCTCCCCCAAGAAATCAGACACCTGAATGATTATCATTTGTTAAATGACTACCATGTGCCGAAAACTGCGTGACCCCTTTGCATACATTACTTCGTTAAAATCTAATACTGAATATTATGAAAAAGATGCACTATTTTCTCCAGTACGTAAGTGGAAATGCTAAGACTTCAGTTTTAAACAAGCTGGATGTGAAGACATAGCTCCCATCTCTAAAGAAAGAACTGGTACCTTAAACCAGGAACTAAATATCATATTTTGCCATGTATAGCATGCACTTTTATGCCCAAATTTTTTAGGAAAAAATAAGGATGCACATTATGCACAGGTAGTAGTACCTGAAATACCTTGCCTCTGTTCTTGTGTTTTGTAATTATTTGTTACATAAAATTTCTTGCACTCCCCCTTGTATGTTTAAAAGTAAATGCTAAAATTCCTTTATAATACAAAAACCAATTGTCTAAATATAAATAAGTAATTGAAATAAAAATTAAAACGTAAGACTTTTATCCTGAAAGTTTGGGCCAAAAATGTGGGTGCACATTATACTTGGCAAAATACAGTTTGCTGTTCTCCATGAGAGGGTTAGTGGTCCAGCTGCTGAACAAGTGCATCCTCACAGCCCACCCCCCGCTGTGGACTCCACAATGCTGCCCAATCATTTTTCTAACCCTTGTATGAACAAGATAATTCTGTCTTCCCTGTACACACCATTCTCATGGTATTTTGACGGGTAGATCAATCCTACCAACCCCAGAGTTCAGAGGATCATTTCATGGTTAAATTTTAAGTTTACACTTTCAGATGCTGTTTCTGAGTTTTAAATCTTGTATCTAATTCTATCAGTTCTAAAATTAGAAAGAGATATGATGATACTGCTTTATTTTCTAAGTGCCCCTCTGCTGGCTTATAAGGATGGCAATAACAGCTACCACTTATTGAATGCTTATGACTGTGATTAGTGCTTTATAAACAGCACTCCTACAAAACAGGTTTTGGTACTTTGCCATTTTACAGATGGGAAAACTGAGGCTTGAAGAGGTTAGATAACTTAGCTGGTTTTATATAGTCATTCAATCATTGGTCTAAGAAAGGGCTGCATTGGGGATTTTAATCCAGTTTTTCTGGAGTCTGAATCAAGACTGTCTCTTGCTAGTGGTGTTACTTTGAGTTTATTGTATATACCTCCCGTCTATCTCTTTCTTGACCTGGGAAATAGGTTGATGATATTATTTACCTTAATGCTGTAGCATGGATTGAGTTACTAAACAGAAGGTGCTTAGAACAGTACTTGACATAGTATCTGCTTAATATTTGGTAGTATAAAATAATTATCATTAATATTATTCACTGGACTTTAATTACTGAGATCATATATTAAACCATACAGAAGTATAGGAAGTAAAAAATACCCCTTTTCACCACCTCCCACTTCCTTTCCCCGCCATTAACCACTGACACCAGTTTGCTGTATATTCTTCCAGAGTATTTCTTATGCCATGTGAAACTATTTTTAAATTGTCCTTTCATTAACAAAATACAGGGCAAGAGTAAAATTTTTGGAGTGATCCTGAAAATGGAAGCGTATAGAGGTAGGAAGACAGACAAATTCATTCATTCAGCAAATATTCTGTGCCAGACACTCTCTTTACGTGCTGAGGATTTGGCATGCTGGATTTCTGTTTTGACTGTTCATTGACTTTTTGTTGTTGTTTTATTTAGGACATGATGTTTCAGCTTCTTCGTGGTCTGGACTTTCTTCATTCTCACCGAGTCGTGCATCGTGACCTAAAACCACAGAACATTCTGGTGACCAGCAGCGGACAAATAAAACTGGCCGACTTCGGCCTTGCCCGCATCTACAGTTTTCAGATGGCTCTTACTTCAGTGGTGAGTGAAAAAGTGCTATTCTGTCATAAACTCACCTTCCCTCTTTTGAATGACAAACTGCTCCACTCCATGCCCCTAATGTTATTGATGCCAGTGGTTCATAGTGAACAAAATGTCTCCACTGTTTTATAGAGCAGCAGGTAGGAAGAAAGCATTCTGCTTACAACTACAGACACATCCTGGCTGGGCTCATTGTGCACAGGACCCATTGCAGAAATAGCCTGTAGCATCTCAGCCACTGGAAGGGAGTCAGTTCTGCTCTGGCCAGGTTACTCAGTGGTCGGAGCATATTCCCAGGATGCCAAGGATTCTGGTTTGTTCCCGGTCAGGGCACATACAAGAATCAACCTATGAATGCATAAATAAATGGAACTACAAATAGATGTTTCTCTCATCAATAAATCATTTTTTTTTTAAAAAAAAGAAGGGAATCATTTACAAGTGTCAAAACGGTTTTTGCTATAACACTGTTTTCAGAGCAGCATGTATAATATCTGGGGAACATAGCTCAAGGAAAAGAGAACACCAGGATCCCTGACTTGTCTGCAGAACCCTGGTTTGGGGAAAAGCCAGGTGTCTGCACAGGTGTATGAAAGTACTCTTCCGAAGCTGTGGTGCAGACTGAGAAGAAAACATTGAATTTAACAGTGAACTTGGATGACCCATGAACTAGTAGCACTACCCTGCCAGGCAAAGGCTTCATCCAGGCCAAAAGAGAAGGGCTCTGTTTTGACAAAGTATGACAGTTATAATATCCTGTTCTAGGTCTCATTCAGATCCCAAACCATAATAGCCAGTGACTTCCGTTAGCTTCTATTTCTCCTTCTAGTTCATTGTTTCTGAGATGAATTTTTGTGAAATTCTGCACCCAAGAGATGAGAAGAGAGCCTGGAAGTAAGCACTGATAACCCTTCTTTTTGAAAAGCCTGCTTTTCATGCAGTGAATTCATTCATAGATTTTTTTTTAAAGGCCAGGGAATATTCCTTTGCTGTGCTGCTGACCTAGAGCTAAGGTTGATGCAGAGAATCCCTTTGATTCTATGATGGCTATAGAAATGGCCCCCAGAGCATTAGATTAAGTCTTTAAAAAAATAGAATAATCCTGGGTCAATACGTATGCCATTCTTCACATGTAATAATCCATCTTTTTTATGTTTTCTTTTCATTGATTTCTGCTTTAAAATCTTTCCATTACAGTCGACATACAATATTATGTTAGGTTCAGGTGTACAACATAGTGATTAGACATTTATATAACTTACTAAGTGATCACCCTGATGAGTCTAGTACCTAGCATGGACACCGTATAAATGGGAGGGAGATTGGGGAGTAGGAAATGGATGAAAATGGAGGAGAGATTAATAAGTACAAATTGCTAGTTATAAAAGCACACAGGATGTGAAGTACAGTGTCAGGAACATACAGCCCACCTTTCGCCCTGACAGGGTTCTCAGTCAGGGCAGCACTGCCCTGGGCATGGAGTGTTGTTAGCAAATGCATGGCCGTGTCTCTGCTTATCACGTGACTTGGGGATGGAAGTGGCTGCAAGGAGGCTAATACTCTGCACAGCAAAATTGTTTTCCCACATTCCAGTAATGCCTCAGCTGAAAAGTAGAAAATTGGGAGGGGAATTGGAAGTGCTCTGAGAGAGATAACTTGCCTTAGAAAAACATTCAATTTACAAAAGTATTCTGCTCCCCAGACCCGAAATATGGATCTACAACCCGGACATGTGAGATCAGGTACTTTCCCACCATTGTGTACTTTACCCAGGGCATCAGAATTTCTACAGGGGATCCCTTGGAATGTGTCCCCATGGGTGAAAAATAAATTGTACTTGTTTCCTCTTTGTCCACCATGCACCATCGTCATTGAGAAGACAAGGCACAGATGAGGTTGAAAGGGTACGCCTCGGCTTCGGGCTGGGTCAGACAGGCCCTTGCATTCTTACACGGCCACACCAGAAGGGGCTGAGGTTGCGTGCTTCCCAGTGGGAAGGGTGAGGTAGGCTTCAGGCTTCCCTAGGAAGCAGTTGCGCATGTTGTTTCAGGGCCCTGGGGAGAAGCTTGAATGGGCTTTGTGATCCGGTCGGGCATCAGAGGGGCCGATGGAAGGAACTGGTCTCCGTCAGTGCGTTAATCCGAGGGAAGGGTGAGCCATCACTGAGACAGATACTCTATGGTGATTCCCCCCAAGGGGCACTCAAAACCGTAAATAAAAAACAGGAAACCCAGTTGATTTTGATTTTTTTTTTCTTTTTAAAGTTGAAGAATGATAGTCCAGCTTGCCTATAACGTCAATTAACATTCCATTCTCACTGAACGTTGATAGGTCCAGGCAAGAAAATGCAGGCAAACTATTTCATAGAGAAAAGGGGAAAGGCGATCATAAATACCTGATTTTTCAGGGCCCAGTTTGTATTGTCTGCTCTGTATTACTTATGGTGACCAAGGGAAAAAAACATTAGCAACAGGAAGACACCGGAACAAATGCAGACTTTACTTGAAAGCGATGGTTGGAATTTAATGGTAATAATAAATGGGTATGATTTCCTGTAGAGTACGGCATTTAAGTTTTTTTCCACTGTTTTATGTTTTTTTTATTTAAAGGAAAAAGCCCATTTAGTACACTGATACATTGGTTCACATATACACGATGACGTATAAAGACTTGAAATCACAATTTCCCAGATTCGATGGGTATTTATTCTTCCACTTCCTGAAAATACACATTTTTTTGTGGATTATGTCATACAGGAACTGGGCATCATCTGTGGAATGTTAAAGGAATTGCAAGTTAGTGCATTTAAAACTGACATCTTCCAGCCATGAGACATGTTGATATATTACTTATCTTCCTTACTCTGACTCAGATATTCCCTTCTGGGACACCCTGCAGAACTTAATTTCTGCTTTCTCCTTCAGTGACTTCAAAGTAACGTCTTATTTTTTTCCTCCTTTATAAATTATTGTTCAAGTACAATTGTCTCCATTTTCCCCCCACCATCCACCTCTCAAAGTAACATATTAATGCCTGTCGTAATACTGCTCTCTGTCTTGTTTGTAATTATTTGGGGGGTTAATTTATCAAGCCGTAAGGTCCTGGAAGGAGCTGGCCTTTTGGGTAGACACTGATGTAGGAGAATCTCTATACGTCTGGACTGTAGTTGTCACTTCAGATTGTCTCCATCTGATGAGGGAGGTTAGGTGCCCTTAGATGCCCTACTCTACTGGGCTGCCTCCAGCACGACACTCAGGTGTGGACAGGGTATACTGGGTTCTTGCCGCTCAGTGTACAGTCAGGCATTCCCAGAACCCTGTACAGAGTAAGGCTTGGTTATACCTCTCTCTGTGCAGGTTGTGGAATTAAGATGTGGATCAGTACCATGTATACCTTAGACTTGACAAGAGGGTCCCTTGGCCTGGGTCTCACGCTTTAGAGGAGGCTACACTGGCCCTGCTCCAGCCATGCCTTCCTTCATGGAGCATGGAACTCAGGGTGCCAAGGAGACATACCACCTGGAGCCTGAGCCCCCCCACCCACACCCTGCCACACTCAGAGCATTGGGATTCCCAGCCGCTCTCAGGCTCTTCTGCCTAACAGCAGGCTGTGCCCCTGGGTGGCCCCCTCAGCAGTTGGCAGCTGTGGGGGCAGAGTGCGGGCACGTGGACCAGAATGCCTGTGAGCATCTGAGGCCCCTTGCAGTGCAGGGAGCTGGGAATGTGAAGAGAGATGGGGACCGTTAGACTCGAGACTCAGCCTGGGTTATTTTACCAGAAGAGTTTCTCTGAAACTGTGGAAATCAACTTTTGTGACCTGCCCCGAAATATCACCTTTGTGGAAAACCAAAGAGAAGAGATTACAGGGGAGGTCCTTTCCATGGCATATAAGTAATATAGAAAATTCATGACTCATGTGGTTCTATACTCTCAGTGGCAGAAATGTTTCAAGGATATAAAACACATTTTGAGATAAGCTAAAATTATATTCAGAGTCATTCCAAGGTCAAACATTTCTAAGTTCTTCCCTTGTCACTGAGGTGCATGGTGCAACTTATTTTTGTCTGTCAAGACAAAAGGGAAATAGAGACCAACCACTCAGCCAGAAGTTTTGGTCCCACTGACAGGGAGAGTCTCAGAGCCGAGCCTAAGACTTCACCAGCCACCCCATGAGGACACCGATGATGGTGAAGCGCTGTGAGCAGCAGCTCAAGGAGAGAGTCGCCTTCACTCTTTATGATGCAAATTCTTTATTACTTTTTTCTTCAACTGAACCGTAACAGGCAGGATGATACTGTTGCCATTGGCTTTGGTGTTTTTGGAAGTCCTTGTGAACCACCTTATTGTGCACGTGGGGAAACTGAGACTGTGGAAGGCAGTTGGTGACCAGGTTAAGTCCGAATTCAGCAAACAGATTGCATATGGCTCAGAGAGCCCCCCACCCCACCACTTGCCTTCTCTCCCCACTGTAGGCTCCAGTAGTTCACAGTTTACCAAACTGTGTTCTTGGGAACTCTCTGGTTCTATACAAAGGGTGTTCAGAGGTTCCACAAACGTTCAACAGTCCACTTTTAAAAATATATCATAGGTCTTGCTGAAATTATCATTTAAAAAGACAACTAGCTCATGCCATATTTTGGCACATTTGCAGACACTGAGGCATGAATGTGTGTCTCCTGGTTAATTCACTGTTCATGTAGACCTCAGAATGCAACTTCTGCCATCCTCGTGCCCAGCTGGTTGTCTTATAAATGTGTTGTTGCTTAGGAAAAATCAGGTTCTGTCTGTTCACTTCTGGGTCAGCTCTCTTAAAATCCCCTAAGTGCCTGATTGCAACAGCACAGGCAGCACTGCACTCACTGGACATGAGACAGCTTGGCCGTCCAGAATGATGCCAGTGTTGACATTTCCCCATGAAGATGTGACTGCCAACGCCCAGGCATTTAGCGCCACTCACTCCCCAGGACAGTTACCATAAAGCCGCCTGTGGATAGAAGCCTG